ACAGGGGTTCACCTGGAGGCTGCTGTGGCAGGTGGGGAGGACACACCCCAGCCAGGAGGGGAGGCTGCAGGCTTCCTGGAGAGCAGACCTGCTCAGGGCTTTCTCCTTGATGCCCTCATGGTGAGTGGGGTCAAGGACCCCTCCCCTTGTGCCCAGAAGTTTCCTGATTTGGGAGACAACTCTACTGACCCCTTGGGCTCAGAGGAGTCCTCCCTCCCCACCGTGGCCCCCATTCCTACCTGACTCTGACGGCCCTTCACCCCTACCCTTCTTGCTGCCATCAGTCCAACAGAGCCCAAAGGAGCCTGGGAACTGGGCATCAGAGGGAACGCCCAGAACGGGGTCACTGGGCAGATTCTAGGCTCACGTGCTGCTGGGTGGGGCCTGCTCTTGCTGCCCGTCCCTGGGTGGGTGGGGAGGGCCGTCACAGAGACCCGGCTCACAGGGAGTCGTGCGCCAAAGCAGCAGCAAGTACTTCCTCAGTGCAGCCCCTGTCCTGACCGCTTTGTGCTCACAGGGCTCAGGGGACACGGCAAGCCCTCCAGCTCTTCTCACTCAGAGCTCCAATCCGAGGTGAAAGACGGCAGATGAGCATTCACCCAGCCAAGGGCAAATCAGAGAGTAGCAATCTCAGGTGAGTCCTGAGGGCTGTGCAGAAATGGGGTGATGCTCAGTAGGGTGGCACAGAAGGCCTCTCTGCGGCAGGCCTCGTAACGGGGCCTGGACGACATCCGGATGCTCACACAGGCCTGTGGACAGCACTGTGCGCAGCCTGATGTGGGGTCTTGACGGCTGGTGGGCGTTGTCTGACCAGAGCGGGGTGGCTGAGGAGCAGGTGAGCTCAGAGAGCTGAGTGGGTACTGAGCACCATGGGGTGCAGGGCTGCGGCAGGGTCTGAGCGGGCACACTTGACCTGAGTTTTGCTCAAAGGAGGCCACTCTGCTCTTAGAAGGTGGGTAGAGCCAAGGTAGAGCAAGGCCTCTGCCCTCTCCCTTATCTGGGGTCCTTCTCAGAGCCTGGGGGGCGTGATTCTACCTTCAGCTTTTATTTTCAGTTTAGCCAAGAAGGAACCGAGCACAGGTAATGTGACAGTGGTGACGCTTTCCTGAGGCCCAGTTCAGGCCGCTTTGTGGCATTTTGTACACGACAACTTTTTCAGAAGGTGCCTCAATTTGAAAACTAGGTTCTTTGTCCACCTGAGTACGTTCGACCCCGTTAGAGCACATACTCCCTGCTGAGGTCCAGAGGACACATTGCTCGGTGGCCTCTTGCTGAAAGAGTGCCCCCTCCCCTTCTTGTGGGCAGGACCAGCTCCTCAGCCCTGGAGGTCCTGGCAGCTCTGGGGTGTCTCTGCTGTCCAGTGAGAGCTGCTTGGGGCTGGTGGGGTTGTCTGTCCATAATCAGCCACCTCATGTGTGTAGCAGGGAGGTAGGAAGGGCCCAGATGCTATCTGGCCAGCTGGCATTTCCTTCTTATGTGTTTCTGCTTCCCACACTCCAGCCACATGGAACCCACAGCGTTTTTCCCATCCATCCCCACTCACATTGTTCCCTCTGGGACCCTCCACCCCCCTTTGGTATCCAGCTCTTGGTGCTCATTCTGCAAAGCCCGTATCACATGCCATCTTCTCCAGGAAGGTGGTCTGAGACCCCATGAACCCTCCATGGGCTTTTCCCTTGTTGAGCCCCCAAAGCACATGTGTGGGTACAGACTGTGGATGCAGACATTCATGGGTCTGAACCTCAGTGACAAGCTGCACCCTGGGTGTGAAACTTACCCTCTCTGAACCTCAGTCTCTTTGTCTGGAAGGTAAGGCGGATGATCACACTGATACCCTGGTGCGGTGCTGGGAGGATGAGGTCATGCTGTGACTGATGCTCGATAACCGGCAGCAGTTTGTGTTAGCAGACTTGTACATGCGTGTGTCTCAAGCCCCTGCTCGCTCTGGGTCCTTTTCCTATCCATCACCGCCTCCTTGGAGCATCGCAAGTGCCTAGAGACTAAGCTCTGTTGGGAGCCTCCTGCGGGCGGGGTCCCTCTTCACTTCTTGCAGTTCTGCATCGTGACACCAGAGGGAAGCAAGAGACCCCGGGCCCTCTGGGCGTCTGCAGGCCAGCCCGGTGCCGTCCTCTGGGAGAGCCTATATCAGGGGTTCCTCCATGCCAGGAAAATCCCAAGACCAGGTAATCCAAGAGCCAGTCACTGCGGCCCTTTTAGGAAGGCTTCCTCACACCCCAACAGATGCCACTGCTTCAGCTGATTAGTCAGTCAGTGTCGGCCAAGATATCCTGGTACTTGTCATGCACCCTTTATCTGCATTTCATGTCATTAGGATTGCATGGCTGCAGGATGCAGAACGCTTCCACAGTGAGTGGTATGTAAGAAAGAAATCAAGTGTGTATGAATGGACCAATGAGGGCAGTGAATGCTGGGCGCCAAGACAAAGGGCTCCACATCTGGAGTCCCAGCTGTGCCGGAGGAACCATTCCCTTCGGTTGCCAGATCCTGTGCCAGGCACTGTGTAAATGTTGTTTAAGGACCAACCCGAGTCAGCATCTCTGTCTACACTTTAACCACTGACATGGACTGATGGTCTGTGTCCCCCTAACAATCCCTGTACCAAGAATCTAACCCACAAAGTGTTGGTGTTGGGGGTGAGGCGTTTGGAGATGCTCTGTCAGGAGTGGGGGTCCTCAGAGTAGAGACCCGGGGGCTCCCTCCCCATCCTCCACGTGGGGACACAGTGAGAAGACAGCTGTCTGCGGTGGGAAGAGGGCCTTACCCAGCACCGAATCTGCCGGCGCCTTGTTCTCAGACCTCCGAGCTTCTGGAAGTGTAAAAAATACATAGCTCCAGTCTAAGCATGAGAAAAACATCAGGCAAACCCAAAGTGAGGGATATTCTACCAAATACCTGGTCAGTACCACTCATATTGCCAAGGTATCAAAACTAAGGAGAGGCTGAGGAGACGAGTAGCTGAGTGTGGTGTGTGCCCCGGGGGGTCGGGGCAGGAAGGAGGCCAGGTGAGCACTACGGGCACTGGAGTGAGTCAGCCACTCGGGACAGTACCGTCTCTCTGCTGCCTCGCTGGCCGCAGCATCTGTGCACAGCCAGGCGCAGAGAGCGAGCTCTGTACTAGCGGATCTGTCCCTAGTATTCCTGAGCCAACACTCTTCCCACCAGTGAAGGCTAGTAGAAAATCCCAAACCCAAAACTTCAGAGGAAACTTGCACAAACTCTGGTGTTTCTGATTACTCTCCTTTCTGCCCCCAATCTTCCCACCCAGTCCTACTCAGACGTCCTCTTAACTTTGTCCTGTCAGGATGACGGAGCCTGTGTTCTCCTCCTCTAAATGGTTCCCAGCTTACAAGTGCTGGATTTAGGATCTTTCAGCTCTGATAGTGCAAAAGTGATACATCTCCGATAGAAACCATATTTTGAATTTTGGTCTTTTGTCGGACTAGCAATAGGTGATCCGATATGTCCTGGTGATGCTCGGCAGAGGCAGTGGGCGCCAGCTCCATCAGCCATGGGACCAGGACGGCAAACAGCCAGTGTGGTTGCCACCATCTGCGTGCACACCGCTGTTCTGTGTTTTCACTGTCAGGAAGCTATTCAATGAATTACATGAGACTTTTATACCTGCATTTAAAAGCAGTCTTTGTGTTGGATGATTTTGCCCAACCGTAGGCTAATGTAAGTGTTCTAAGCAAGGTTAAGGTGGGCTAGGCTAAGTGGTGATGTACAGTAGGTTAGATGTATTGAATTAATCTTTGGCTTATAATAGATTTATCAGGTGTAACCCATGGTAAGTCAAGGAAGGCTGTCCTGGGAACCACTGACGAGTGTTAACCCCCGGAGTGATGCGGTCAGGTTGGAAGCTCAAGCAGAAAGCCCTGTCCTGTATGATGGGGGCTGGTGTGGTGCCAAGGGCCATCGCCGTAATTCAGGCGAGAGGTCTTCTCAGCCCAGGCTTGGGGTGGCAGGCAGGCAGCCCACAGGAAGGGCCCTCAGTGGGGGCACACTGGAAGGAACGAGGAACACCTGTGTCTTCTTCCGTGAGTGGTGGAGCATCGTCCAAGACCCACTGTCTGAGGAGGGAACAGGGCGCGTGTCACCGGGTGAGAGAAGGGAGGCTAAGTGCCACTCAGATCTGTTAAGTCAGGCGGTGTGGATGCCTGTGGTGAACATAGCTTAGGGTGGCTAGAGACAGCCTGCCTGATGATGTCACTCAATAGTTGAGGTGGGTGATTTGAAGAGGTTAAGGCAGAGTTTGTCCCAGGAAGGAGGGGAACCCCCGGCCTATGGGTTGACAGCAGTCAGGCTGCGGAACATAGTGGGGCAACGGCTGCAGTGGCCTTGACCCTGCCTTCCCCCGGCCTGTTCGGAGTGGTTCTTCTGTGATTCCAGCTGGCCCAGCCTTTCCTTGGTCGTGACGCTGTCCCTGTCCCCACCAGAAACCAGCCCTGGGAGTGTTTCCTCTCCCCACTTGCCCAATCCTCCTCCTCCTGGTTTTCTGACGTCCTCCTTAGCCAAGGAGGCAGTCCGCAGACTACTGCAGACCATTCTTCAGGGAGAAAACCTAGGAAGGGACCAGACCAGGTGGCTCCCCCACTTCCTGGCGCCTTCAGTCTCCTCCTTGCACGAGGGGCTCATGGGGTTCGCAAACACAGGGCTGAGCTTGGCCACGGGCTAACCGGGCTCCACGTGTATCCCGAGGGCTGCGCTGGGCTGTGATGGGAGCGCCTCTCCCCCCAGCAGAATAGCTCATCCCCACTTCATGACTGGCCGGTGCCACTTTTGGGTGCATGAGTGAACTTGTTTCTGCTTGGCTTGCTTTCCTTTTTAGAAGCTGTTGAATGGATTGGCTTGTTTTGGAAGCAGAATTGGAGTGGTCAAGATGCCTGTCCTCTGGGAACTGGACAAGGGAGTTATGTGCAACCCTTGACCCTAACAGGTTTTCATATAGTAAGAGAGAGAGGAGAAAAAGGCAAAGAGGGTCCAGGACTTCCACGGTTTATTCTGTATTATTGTAGACACCCAGGCATTCAACTACAATACTTGGGATGAAGTCAGGGTCCCCGTGGTAACTGTCTCCTCAGGCGGAGGTTCTGGGATTGAGTTTACTAGGGGTGGGTGCTGGGATAACTCCCTGCTCCTGCCCCGTAAAAGAAGACATGCAGGACAGAGTCAGGCACGTTCACAGATGAGCGGGCTCCCCAGGCTGGGGACCGGAGGTAAGTGAGGCCACTGGCTCCCTCCTCACTTGTACAGAACCATCTGAGGGCCTCTGGGACACTGAGAGTGGCTGCTTATGCCTGTGGGGGGGGGGCACTACACCTCCTGCTGCTCCTGCTCTGTTGGGGGCAGGACTTCTTCCTTCAGTGGCTGGACTTGCTGGGGCTCTTGGACCTGGCCAGGAGCTGGCACATGCGCAGGCTGCTCCAGCTGCACCCCCTGCTGCGCTTCCTGCTGCCCCCCCAGCTGCTCCTGCTGCCCCTCCAGCTGCACCCCCAGCTGCTCCAGCTGCCCCTCCTGCTGTGCCTCCTGCTGCCCCTCCTGCTGCTCCTGCTGCCCCTCCAGCTGCGCCTCCTGCTGTCCCTCCAGGTGCTCCAGCTGTGCCTCCTGCTGCCCCTCCAGCTGAGCCTCCTGCTGCCCCTCCTGCTGTGCCTCCTGCTGCGCCTCCTGCTGTGCCTCCAGCTGTGCCTCCTGCTGCTCCTCCAGCTGTGCCTCCTGCTGCCCCTCCTGCTGCCCCTCCAGCTGCGCCTCCTGCTGTCCCTCCAGGTGCTCCAGCTGTGCCTCCTGCTGCGCCTCCTGCTGCCCCTCCAGCTCCACCCCCAGCTGCTCCAGCTGTGCTTCCTGATGTCCCTCCAGGTGCGCCTCCTGCTGCGCCTCCTGCTGTCCCTCCAGGTGCTCCAGCTGTGCCTCCTGCTGCCCCTCCAGCTGCGCCTCCTGCTGCGCCTCCTGCTGTCCCTCCAGGTGCTCCAGCTGTGCCTCCTGCTGCCCCTCCAGCTGCGCCTCCTGCTGCGCCTCCTGCTGTCCCTCCAGGTGCTCCAGCTGTGCCTCCTGCTGCCCCTCCAGCTGCGCCTCCTGCTGCGCCTCCTGCTGTCCCTCCAGGTGCTCCAGCTGTGCCTCCTGCTGCCCCTCCAGCTGCGCCTCCTGCTGCGCCTCCTGCTGCTCCAGAGATGTTGGCTGTGCCACGTGCTCCTTTTGGGTGTCACCAGGAGGAGGAACAGGCTTGAGGGACTCCTGACTGAAGGCAGGTGGCAGGGTCTCTGGCAGAGTATGTGGCTGGGGCATCTTGGGAACTGCTTAGGTCAACCTGAAAGACAGGAAGGGTCAGAGGGTGATGGGACAGAGGAAGTGGGCAGGTCCCCCAAAATCTGCAGCCTGTCCTTAGCGTGACCTCTCTTACCTTTGGGGGGCTCTCTCCCACCTGCTCTGGGCTGTCGTTCCCCAGAAGCAGCAGAGTGAAAGGTAGACATGGGAGGCACAGGGCAGGCCCTCCTGGCAGCCTCCCGTTCCCCAGAGAGGCTGACAAGGAGGTCTGTCTGAGCAGCTGCTCGGTGAGGCTGGGCTGGGTGCCCTGTCTTGCCTGCTTGTGCCTCATCCTTGTTTCCACCCTCATTTTTGACCCCCACTGACCACAAAAGAAAGATAAGTTCTGGGATTATAAAAGGAAGAGGTAAGATCTTAGGAAAATAAAGGTCTCCTGGTGGGGGAGGAAGTGAGCGGTCACGGCACAAACTGGGCCAGTCACACGGTACATTCTCAGGATAAATCTCCCCCCAAAATGCTTGTTGCCTCTGGGCAAGTCCCCTCTGGGCCTCAGGTTTCTCCTGTGTAAGCATTAGCAGACTGGCCTGGTCAACCCAGAGCTTCCTTTTCTCATGACCTCCTGAGCTTCAGCTGCAGCCCCAGGCCTTGGGGTGGGCAACTGGGAGGTTTCTGGGGTGGAGCTGGACTTGCGGATCTCGGCGGCCTCGACTGCTGCCCTGCGCCCTGCTCCCCCTGGGCTCTGCGGCACAGCCAGGAGTCCAGAGTCACATATCCCCCCAAACCTCCTGCCCCTAAGAAGGCACTCCTGGCATCCCAAATGAAATGGTTTTAGGAAAGAATTTGGCTGCACTCCATCTTACTTCTCTGTCTCATACATACATGCTCACATGCGCAGGCACACACACACACACACACACACACACACTCTGTCTCTCTGTCTCTCTCTCTCCAAAACCTGGTCTCAAAAACAGACAGTGAAGAGGGGTTGTGCTGTTCCCTGCCTTCATGCCAGGGCACGTTTCCCTCAGCACAGTGACCTGGGCCCTCCGAGGACATGCAGTCCAGTTGACTGCAGCTCAGGAGTGACTCCTCACCACCTGAGTTGTCCCCCCAAGCCACGCATGTTCTGCACTGCAGGATGGCCCTGGTCCCAGCCCCAGTCCTGGCTGCTGATACTCACCTAATGCACAGTAAGGTGGTGATGAGGCTTCCGGTGCAGGGCTCAGCTGGGCAGGGGTTGGGCGCCCTTTATACCATTCCCCTGCCTGGCCTCCTTTCCAGGGTGAGGAGATGGACTGGTTTCACCACTCAAGTTGGTCAACTGCCTCCAGCCCCTTCCTGACTCATCACAGTCTCCTTAAGCAGAAAACCTCACAGGGCCCCTTTTCACAGATGTAGCTCCTGCCTGGCCAGAGCGCTCCGCAGGCTTAGCTGCTCCTGTGACACTCAGTTGACCAGAGCACAAAGACCTGAGCCAAGCTCCTCTGAATCTCAACTTCTCCACCTATAATATGTGTTTATCCTCATTATTTGCATGGCAGATTCATTTCCAAGGGAATGAAATGAGTTATATTTCCATGGGTTTTCCAGGACAGGGAATATGGTATTGGGCAGGAGAATCACGTCTCAGGAAGGGATGGGGTTCGGGGATGCTCCCTGACACCGGCCCACAGCCCATCTGCTCTCAGGACATTCTGTGTGGAAGCATCCCGTCCTGAGGTGCCAGCCTTTAGGCCAGAAAGGTCAAGCAGAAGGATGGTAGGGGTCTCCTACTGGGTGCCAGGGGCTGACCAGGCCACATGCCCAAGGCTGTAGTTAAGGAAGTTCCCCAGAATGCCATGCTCACAAAAACCTAAAGCATGGGCCACTCCAGGCAAGGAAACAGGCATTAAACATGCAATTTATAAAATAATCAGTGTCACCAACTGTACTTCAATGAAAAAATAAGATTGTTTTCATGGTGATAAAAGAAACATTTTTCATAATTTTTTTGGAAATGCATGAAGGTATAAAGATCAAAACAACTCACTGCTTTATCCAAACCAGTCTCGAAAAGTAGCTTAAGCAATCGTTCAGCTTAGAGCCTACCCTTCTCCAGGGCTGACAGCAACCCAGTACACCTGGAATAAAATGCGATCTCCCTGCTGTGGCTTCAGAGTCCCTCACCTCTGGGCCCATCCAGCACTCGGAGCCCACTCTCCCCCCATCAGCAGGCCTATCCCAGTGACAGGCTATTCTTTTTAAAGTGTAGCTGATATACAATATTGCATGGTTTCAGGTGTACAACACAGTGATTTGACAATTGTATCCATTATGAAATTCTCCCCATGGTAAGTATAATTGCCACCTGTCACCATACCAAGATATTACAATATTTCTGACTATATTCCCTCTGTTGTACTTTTCATCCCTGGGATTTATTTATTTTATAATTGGAAGTTTCTGCCTCTTTATCACCTTCATCTGTTCCCCTGTCCCCAGTCCCCTCCCTTATCACAGCCACCTGTCTGTTTTCTGTGTTTATGAGTTTATTTCTGTTTTTTTTGTTTTATATTTTTAGATTCCACATATAAGTGAGATCATGTGATATTTGTCTTTATTTATCCTCTGACTGAAGGCAGGTGGCAGGGTCTCTGGCAGAGTATGTGGCTGGGGCATCTTGGGAACTGCTTAGGTCAACCTGAAAGACAGGAAGGGTCAGAGGGTGATGGGACAGAGGAAGTGGGCAGGTCCCCCAAAATCTGCAGCCTGTCCTTAGCGTGACCTCTCTTACCTTTGGGGGGCTCTCTCCCACCTGCTCTGGGCTGTCGTTCCCCAGAAGCAGCAGAGTGAAAGGTAGACATGGGAGGCACAGGGCAGGCCCTCCTGGCAGCCTCCCGTTCCCCAGAGAGGCTGACAAGGAGGTCTGTCTGAGCAGCTGCTCGGTGAGGCTGGGCTGGGTGCCCTGTCTTGCCTGCTTGTGCCTCATCCTTGTTTCCACCCTCATTTTTGACCCCCACTGACCACAAAAGAAAGATAAGTTCTGGGATTATAAAAGGAAGAGGTAAGATCTTAGGAAAATAAAGGTCTCCTGGTGGGGGAGGAAGTGAGCGGTCACGGCACAAACTGGGCCAGTCACACGGTACATTCTCAGGATAAATCTCCCCCCAAAATGCTTGTTGCCTCTGGGCAAGTCCCCTCTGGGCCTCAGGTTTCTCCTGTGTAAGCATTAGCAGACTGGCCTGGTCAACCCAGAGCTTCCTTTTCTCATGACCTCCTGAGCTTCAGCTGCAGCCCCAGGCCTTGGGGTGGGCAACTGGGAGGTTTCTGGGGTGGAGCTGGACTTGCGGATCTCGGCGGCCTCGACTGCTGCCCTGCGCCCTGCTCCCCCTGGGCTCTGCGGCACAGCCAGGAGTCCAGAGTCACACATCCCCCCAAACCTCCTGCCCCTAAGAAGGCACTCCTGGCATCCCAAATGAAATGGTTTTAGGAAAGAATTTGGCTGCACTCCATCTTACTTCTCTGTCTCATACATACATGCTCACATGCGCGGGCACACACACACACACACACACACACACACACACACACACACACACTCTGTCTCTCTGTCTCTCTCTCTCCAAAACCTGGTCTCAAAAACAGACAGTGAAGAGGGGTTGTGCTGTTCCCTGCCTTCATGCCAGGGCACGTTTCCCTCAGCACAGTGACCTGGGCCCTCCGAGGACATGCAGTCCAGTTGACTGCAGCTCAGGAGTGACTCCTCACCACCTGAGTTGTCCCCCCAAGCCACGCATGTTCTGCACTGCAGGATGGCCCTGGTCCCAGCCCCAGTCCTGGCTGCTGATACTCACCTAATGCACAGTAAGGTGGTGATGAGGCTTCCGGTGCAGGGCTCAGCTGGGCAGGGGTTGGGCGCCCTTTATACCATTCCCCTGCCTGGCCTCCTTTCCAGGGTGAGGAGATGGACTGGTTTCACCACTCAAGTTGGTCAACTGCCTCCAGCCCCTTCCTGACTCATCACAGTCTCCTTAAGCAGAAAACCTCACAGGGCCCCTTTTCACAGATGTAGCTCCTGCCTGGCCAGAGCGCTCCGCAGGCTTAGCTGCTCCTGTGACACTCAGTTGACCAGAGCACAAAGACCTGAGCCAAGCTCCTCTGAATCTCAACTTCTCCACCTATAATATGTGTTTATCCTCATTATTTGCATGGCAGATTCATTTCCAAGGGAATGAAATGAGTTATATTTCCATGGGTTTTCCAGGACAGGGAATATGGTATTGGGCAGGAGAATCACGTCTCAGGAAGGGATGGGGTTCGGGGATGCTCCCTGACACCGGCCCACAGCCCATCTGCTCTCAGGACATTCTGTGTGGAAGCATCCCGTCCTGAGGTGCCAGCCTTTAGGCCAGAAAGGTCAAGCAGAAGGATGGTAGGGGTCTCCTACTGGGTGCCAGGGGCTGACCAGGCCACATGCCCAAGGCTGTAGTTAAGGAAGTTCCCCAGAATGCCATGCTCACAAAAACCTAAAGCATGGGCCACTCCAGGCAAGGAAACAGGCATTAAACATGCAATTTATAAAATAATCAGTGTCACCAACTGTACTTCAATGAAAAAATAAGATTGTTTTCATGGTGATAAAAGAAACATTTTTCATAATTTTTTTGGAAATGCATGAAGGTATAAAGATCAAAACAACTCACTGCTTTATCCAAACCAGTCTCGAAAAGTAGCTTAAGCAATCGTTCAGCTTAGAGCCTACCCTTCTCCAGGGCTGACAGCAACCCAGTACACCTGGAATAAAATGCGATCTCCCTGCTGTGGCTTCAGAGTCCCTCACCTCTGGGCCCATCCAGCACTCGGAGCCCACTCTCCCCCCATCAGCAGGCCTATCCCAGTGACAGGCTATTCTTTTTAAAGTGTAGCTGATATACAATATTGCATGGTTTCAGGTGTACAACACAGTGATTTGACAATTGTATCCATTATGAAATTCTCCCCATGGTAAGTATAATTGCCACCTGTCACCATACCAAGATATTACAATATTTCTGACTATATTCCCTCTGTTGTACTTTTCATCCCTGGGATTTATTTATTTTATAATTGGAAGTTTCTGCCTCTTTATCACCTTCATCTGTTCCCCTGTCCCCAGTCCCCTCCCTTATCACAGCCACCTGTCTGTTTTCTGTGTTTATGAGTTTATTTCTGTTTTTTTTGTTTTATATTTTTAGATTCCACATATAAGTGAGATCATGTGATATTTGTCTTTATTTATCCGATTTATTTAACTCAGCATAATACCCTCAAGGTCCATTCATATTTTTGCAAATGGCAAGATCCATTCTTCTTCATGGCTGAGTAATATTCCATGGTTTACATTCACCACATCTCCTTCCAACTGTTCATCTATCAATGTGCCCTTGGGCTGCTTCCATGTCTTGGCTATTGTAAATCATGCTGCAGAGAACATAGGTGTGCATGTATCTTTTCAGATCAGTGAGTTTGTTTTCTTTGGGTAAATTCCCAGAAGTGGAATTCCTGGGTGATATGGTGTCTCTAGTGTTTTGAGGAACCTCCACACTGCTGTCCACAGTGGCTATGCACCGGCTGTTGGTGCCCTTCAGCTTCAGCTGCCAGAGCGCCTTTCCTGACAACTCTGCCTGGAGGGTTATCTCTGGCACACTTCATTTTACTAATAACAATAAAGGACACTTTTATTTGCATTTGTTCATCTGTTTATTTCCTCCCTCTCCCACTGGAAGGTAAGCTCAGTAAGGCAGAGGCCGCCTGGTGTGTGCTCTTCCCTCTCCCCAGAAGCTGTTTTAGCGCTTTATGTAAAAAGTGCTCTGTAAATACTAGTTGAAGAATGAATGCACGGTGGACTTCACCACCTGGCGTCATCCACTATGGCACATTTTAGCCTTGTGACTCGTATGTGTGTGTATATGAGCAAAATCAAATCGCAACTTGCCTTTCACTTCAATAGCTAATAGCTTATTTTATGGGCATCATTTAATTAAACTCTTTAAATTATTTACAGTGTAATTAGGAAAGAAATATTAGAGTAATATGAAGACAAATCTCATTGCTGGGCTTAATTTTGAGGAGTGTTCTGATACCCATGGTTTTTACCCCTTTTACCCCACAGACACCCCCTTCTGGCCCCAGATGGGTCGCATTGCTGAGCTAACTGCTGCTGGGGCTCCTGTAAAGGCAGATGGAGGCAGATGGAGGCCCCCACCTCAGGAATTCCCCCACCCAATGCCCTCTCTGTTCCCTGACCCGCCCAGGACCTCGGCTGTCACCCCCTATCGCTGGGGGC